TTTCAAACAGCTTACGCCACAGAATGCTTTTGCTTTTGGCGTAAAGACTCAGCATGCATCTGTTTTGGACAGAACTGTTAAGGAAGCGATTACGTTTAACATCCATGTAACGAAAATAGCATGCTTCATTGAATAATTGAATTTCGGTCATTTCTGGAAGAGGATAAGATATTATAATTTTGTGCCTACCTGCAAGTTTGATTCTTTTATTAAACTATACTAAAAAAAGATGCAAAAGCCGTTCATAGTTAGATGCAGTACAGCTAAGCAAATAATAATGTATTTGCCCCTACGCGGTTACAGTAACCCGTAGGGTCGCTAGTTTTTCATGGAACTGGAAACATTCGGAGAGACAGCAAAATGTCCCTTCGTCTCCCACTCTAACCCCCCTCCCTTTAAGCATTGCGTAAGAAAGAATATTGACAGTTTGAGCGCGCGAGAAATCATTCTTTCGCAGAGATCCATACCGCGAAAACTCGAGAATAATGATCTAAACTCCTCTTAGAGCGCAGAGAAGCTCGTAGCGAGAGAATGACCATGAAATCGTGCGTTGAACGCCGGCGGTGATGGCAACTGCGATTAATCATAATTGGCTTCGACAGCGGGAACGGTCTAAAACATTACGACAGCAACCTCCAGTCTACATATTTATTCGGCTCTGTATTTTTGGTTTCCCCCACAGGACCCTTATTAAGACGACATGCTATTCACGCTCTACAACTGGTACTCCTCATTTGATTTCTTACAAGGCTCTAATGTTCGGAATCGCTTGAATCACGTTTAAAACTTTCACTGTTTCTAAGAAATTAAAAGTGGGCATATTATAGATTTGTGATCAATAGTCAGCATAGCTGAGTAGTTAAGCAAAAATTTTGTTTTTCTACTCAGTTCTCGTAAAATCTTGACAAATAATCTAAATTCAAGCATTTTAAGGAGCATAAAATAAGCAAAAAACAGTAAGCATGCCGTCAGCATATCGGCGGCGTGCCGCTCTCATTTTAGCAAACAGTGGCATACACTCGCAACAACACTATTCTCTTTGCTTTCCGCCCCAAAACGATATCCAGCTTGAACTGATGCCAACCGAGCCCCTGGTTGTCGGTCAAATCTAAACCAACGAGAAAAAATAGTTATAACAAGTTGAGCTTTTGTTAAAAGGTCTGTGATCTTTTTCAATGTGCGCCGAGGTTTTCTAGACGAAATTCAGACGCAGTTCAAATGCCAACAGTTTGAGCACACGAGACGTCACACTCTTTAACAAAGATTTATCCACTGAAGAGCTTATTAGATGCTCTAATTTTGATAGATGTTGGAACATAATGTTTTCTTTCAAACAACAACTATAATAAGTTTATTTACGTGGTTGATAATTTTTGAACTTGCTGAAATGCGAAGTCATTCACTTCGAAAATTAAGAGTTTGCGCACTATTTGCGTAGTAAATAAGTGGAACTATCCAACGTAATATTGCTGCAATAGGTGAAGGTACAATCACCAAATCACGATGGCTTGCTAGCCTCAGCGCTTGAAGTCGATATGGTCATTGGCATTTTCGAGACCTAAGATATGTGTTGTTTACTGCCTTGAAAGTGAACGCATGTGTCTGGCTACCATATGATGGAGCTCTCTACGCTCTATCCATCCTTATGCACTTTACCCCAAATTTCATCTGTCTTCCGGACATAAATGCTAAAGCATGATTTTTTGGCCACTGACTGCGGCAAAAATCATTGATTTTCAAGTTTTTTGCATTTTTTACCAGGAAACAAAGAGAATTTCCAAAGGCTTGATACGACGTTCGAGAGTGCTTGAAGCGCTCTTTTGAATGCCAATCGCATCATGGCCTCACGATAAATTTAGATTTTAGGCGCTCATTCGAAGTTCACATCTAAAAATGATCGAAAGACAGTCACTTTGATGGTTCATACGGGAAAGATACTGGGGGATGCACCGCATATAAACAGACTATAGGGACTGTTCACTTGCTTGGCAAATGATTAGAAGGCAAGTATGCCTTTTTGGCGATGACATATATGTCTCGTATTGTTGTGGCTTGTATAGGCCTCATGTCCCATGGAAGACATAACTTTGTATATGTAAAGAATGTTAACAATCAAACAGCATAATCTCGTACGAATCGTTTTCACCTTAGTTTCTATTTTGTTCGTGAGAAACGGCGTTACATATTAGCATGTTGATAGCTTTTCAAGAAAGAAGCAAGACAGATATCAGTGAAACAAAAACTGTAAGAACTCTTGATATACATTAGCAGAGGTTCCTGCATACTTTGAAGGTGTAATGTCCTGTGCTGATGCCACAAGTCACACTTGCTTTCTTCCTTATAGTCTCGAATACTCAATATATCAATTTTTTCCGACTCACATAATTATTGCAATACTGCTCATAATTCGTCAAAAAAGTCGCCGCACTCTAGCGGAGTGCCCCATGGTACGCTGCAGTGCGCCGGAGTTTGGCGGAGTGTGCCGGAGAGTAGCGGAGTGCGCCGCACTCCACTAGAGTGCCCCGGAATCCGCGTCGCATCGCCACATTTCTCTTAAAAATAGACGTATTGTGATTCCAAGGACATCGCTCGACTAAGCTTGGAGAGGCGCATCATCTGGTAATAGATGTGCCACAATCTGTCGGGGTAGGTAAGTATATTGTTATCAATAGGTTTTCGCTCAATTTTGCAGATTTTTCTTTGATTGGATTGTTCAGTGTGCTGATAACAATATCTGCTGCTGATGGCACATCGTAGGGATACTGTAGGGGCATGGTAGAGAGTCACCCTGATGGATTTGTAATCAGCTTAAGGTATAATACCGCTTACCGAATCTGCAAAATTTCACTGGACGTCGCGAAAATCCGGGAATTCCAGAAAGTTCGCGACTTTCCCGGAATTCTGCGTCATTCTAGGAATTTCACGAAATCACGGGAATTCCGCGTAATAGTGGGAATCACGCAAACTACGCAGCACCATAATTTCCTTCAGAATAAAGATAATCTGAACCTGGAAAAGCATTGGGTTGATCTTGTCAAGGCAAATCTTTTGGTGTACAGCATGACCGTAATATTCCGCTTCCAGTTTTCTCAAATTCTTCTGCAAAGGTCTTTTCGCATAGATGTAACGCAGCGCTTATCCAACACAAAACATTCCAGTAAGTACTGTTCGATATTGCTGTGCTCGTAGGTTATTGTGCGCTAATAATATTTGCAGTTTGAATGTCATGTAGTCACAGTGCAAGTTCGACGAAGTATGCAATCTTTACATTTTGGGCAAAATTCATGAGGACGTGTTTTCGTAGGTTCGTAACTCGGAGACTGTTACAGCTTGGAGCCTGAGACACCCGCTATTCAATAGCACAGCTCCTAGCAACTTAGTCTATAAAAGCAAGCAGGCAGGTTTTCTGACAGATACGCGGGGAGTGCAGGCGAAGTTACGAACTTTCGTGACTCAGTTAAATTTACTTCACTTATCTCTGCAAAAAGACCCTACACTTGACAGACACGTTTTCATAAAACAGCGTGTTCGAAAAACTTTATAAGCGAAGTTTCCTTCCAAACCAAGATCATCAGCATTTCGACCAAAACCTCTGGCGAGCTTCAAAGCGTGAAGCGAGAAAAAAATCAAATAACCCGAAGTTCCCTGAAAACTTGCTCATAGGGGTTATCAGACCTGCTGATTACGAAATTCACATCTGCTTAGCAAGATAGCTTCGTATTCTAGGGCTACGACAAGTAGAATTTGAGACAACAAAATTTTCCCACAGTTCACCAGCCCATCTATCTCCTTTGGAAAAAAAAGCATACGGTTACATTTTGGCGCTCTATAATTTACGGAAGAAGAACTGTTGAAGGGTTTTTACTGTAGCTTATAAGGGCCAATGCGCTCTGCTTTACACTTTGCGAAGAGAAGTCCGCAGAAAAATTCAAGAATACTGAGATTGGAATGTAAAGGACGTACTGTATATTGGAAGATTCGCCTTGATGAACTGAGCACAGATTTTTTTGACTCGGATTATATCAATTTTGGAGGAAGTAACGGCGAGTAGAATTTGGAAGCGCGTGGTTTTTTCAAAATTCACCAACGCTTTTATCTTTTTTGGAAAGGAGTCTGCGGCTACTAATTAGCGCACAATAACCTACAAGCACAGCAATACCGAACAGTATTTACTGGATACATCTATGCGAAAAGACCTTTGCAGAAAAATTTGAGAAAACTGGAAGCGGAATATCAAGTTCATGCTGTACAAAAAGATTTGCCTTGACGAGCTGAACACAGTGCCTTTCCAGGTTCAGATTATCTTCATTCTGAAGAAAATTATGGTGCTGCGTAGTTTGCGTGATTCCCATTATCGCGGAATTCCCGTGATTTCGTGAAATTCCTGGAATGACGCAGAATTCCGGGAAAGTCGCGGGCTTTCGTGGAATTCCCGCATTTTCGCGACGTCCAGTGAAATTTTGCAGATTCGGTGAGCGGTATTATACCTTGAGTTGATTACAAATCCATCAGGGTGACTCTCTACCATGACCTTACAGTATCCCTACGATGTGCTATCAGCAGCAAATCAATGACGATATTGTTATGAGCACACTGGACAAGCCAAAGAAAAATCTGCAAAATTGAGCGAAAACCTATTGATAACAATATACTTACCTACCCCGACAGATTGTGGCACATTCATATACCAGATGATGCGCCTCGCCAAGCTTAGTCGAGCGATGTCCTTGGAGTAATCACAATACGTCTATTTTTAAGCGAAATATGGCGATGCGACGCGGATTCCGGCGCACTCTAGTGGAGTGCGGCGTGCTCCGCTGCTCTCCGGCGCACTCCGCCACACTCCGGTGCATTGCAGCGCACTGTGGCGCACTCTGCTAGAGTGCTGCGACTTTTTTGACGAATTATGAGCGGTATTGCAGTAGGTACAAAACATTTTTACACTTCTTCTCAATCACAGGCAGAAGCTAAGCTTTTAATATCTGATTAAGAGACATCGAAGTCTACAGCAAATATCTTGCAGCTAACAAAATCTGTACGGGCGTTATAGATCCTTTCTTCAGATCCAAGACTGAATTGCAAAGAAGCAAGATGTTGTTGCCGCTTGTAATTATGGTAATAGTTGGCATTTTAAGAATTCCACAAGTCAACATCAAATTTTCAGATAAGCGCAGTCTTTTTTCATATAGGGGAGGCGGGTAAGAATTCACGTATCCGAATTTGAGATTTTGACCTTTATGGGCTTCCCTATTTCTTGATGGAATGTAAAAAAAGTAAACGCATTGCAGATTTCAGCACATGCAGCCTGCAAACTCGATGCAACTGTGGTCGCGGCTGTCACAAACTCTCACAATGAGCTTAGAGCAAACGTTGCCAAGCGTAATCTGAATGCGGCAGTTTTTGGAAGCATACCTGGATCAAAAACTCTTTTCAAGCTGGTGAGTAAAACAGACAGAAAAATTGAAGCGAAAGGGCATGTCTGACTATGTTTCAGCTGATTGAGAGATCCCTTTCTTCAGCTTTCTTCCTCCGATTTTAGTCAAAACACATTGGTCATACAAAAAAACCGTGTTACTTCTTTGCAGAAATATGATTGTTTACACGAAGGACTTGCAATGGCCACCATTGGAAACAAATGCAAGCATTCGAGCAACTACATGGACAAACTTGGAAAAGCCGAAAACTTCATTACGTATGCCTTCAACATGAGTTGAACAGGAACATAATGGAAACTTTCCATTACAGATATAGAATGCCTAAGAAACCACATTTGATTGAACAAAAGGATCTTTTTGAATTTGCGGTGGAAGACTGGACGGATACGGTTAAAAGCCCACTGAGCTCAGACGTAGTGTACACTGATACTTCCATGGAACCATTTGCTAATGTGAGCTTTTGCCGGCTTCACTTCAATCGAGATAGAGCTTAAGTTGCTATTTTTACATTTATAGATGATCTACAACAAGACGCTAAAATTCGGCTGCTCATTATTGTTTTGTAACGATATAAACAAGGTTGCTCTTGCGTGCGTGTATAGTAACAAGTAAGCAATTTGATTCCAGCCACTACATAAATGCTTGGGAATATTACTCAACAAAATATGAAACATACGCAACATTTTTTGTAGGCCAAAGGAAGGTAAACCGCTTTACTGGGCAGATTCGAAAAATAATGCTGGATGTCAAAAACCTGGACCCTGCAAGAAAGTTATTAAAGGAACGGATGTAAACTGCGATACCACCTATGGACTTTGTGATCAAGATCCCGCTACTACTACGACTACTACTACTACTACTACTACTACTACTACTACTACTACTACTACTACTACTCGTGAGTTTGTGGTGAAGTAACGTATGTGAGCTATTCTTTGTTTTTAGCTTCTCAAGAAGATTACAATTATGACGAAGACTATTATGATGACGGAGAAACTGAAATCATAGACGTACGTTGAACACTTGTAAAAGTGTACGAGATAAATAAAAATCTTGTTGTGCATTGAGCAGACTTTGAAAACCAATTTCTTGACTTAATAGAATAGACGGCGACTTCAGTTACATTGCCTTGCTCCATTTTTCACCAAGAAATTCGTTTGTTCAAAACAACTAGTTCGTACGAATACAAGCAAAAAGAAAACAAAAGAATTCATTAGGTGACTTACAAAAATCTGTGTTTTGAAGCAGCCGACACGCCCAAGTTGGCCACTGAGTTTTATATTAGAGCAGCAGGCTGGTTATAAACGCGGCGTTCATGTAATGTCTTGTGACACTTTATTTAACTCGAATTCTGCAAACTTTGGAGGATTGCAGCATTTGAACACTAACTCTTTCGAGTCTTTCGTTCGCACCATTTTCAAATCATAACACCCGGTTTTCTGGCCAATTTGCGTGTTTTCATTTTTATCTGAAAAATCAACTCATTCTCTTCATAGTCGTAGCTCAACGATTGTTGAGCATACACTGCGTAGAAGCGGTAGAAGAAATTTGCCCAAATTTTGAGTTTTCCATGCAGAGCATAAAAATCTAAAACTTGCACCAAAAATCGGAGCAGTCGGTTCAAACTCGCCCTTTTGTATTGCTTGCTCAATAATTATAACTTTTCATAGAGAAGCTTGATCAGCACAAACTTTATACGATTAGAATGAGCTGGTAAAAGCACGTATAATACGAAATTCGGGTAATTTTTTTCTACCGTTTCTATCTAAACAGTGTATGCTCAAAAAAAGCCGTTAAATGATCATGAAGATAAGAGGAAGGCAAAAAGACAAAAATGAAAACTCGCAAATCGGCTGAAAAAAACTGAGAGTTATGAATTTTTGAAAATGGTGCAAACGAACTTTTGGGCCAACCTAATATATTGCAACAATTGTTTCAATTTCTGCGTTTTTTTTTTCATTGTGAGAATGCGAAGTACTGCTACACAAGTAGGCTGCATGGACATGCAATGCACATTGGACTGGAGAGAAATCAAAAATAGCGCAAAGCCCCAAAAGTTAAGCCCACACCCACATTAAAAATGGTAGTGAAAGAATTTGATAATTTGTGTATTAACTTGGCAATAAGGTAGAAAGAGTAATAAATAGGCTTTACAGATTAATCTCATCAAAAAGCTTTCGTAAAAATTTCTCTAAAAGAATTGTTTCTTATAGTAGTGGGATTGAGCACGGGTTTTAGAAACGCAGAAAGACCGATTTAGTTTATGACCAGAGACCGCGCACAAAACTTGCGCAAGGTGCCAAAACACAAAAGCGCTCTTATTGCGTCGGAGTAGTTGCGGTTATGGTGACCTTGTCAGCGCTTGCATTTTTTGGTAAGGAGAATAATTTATAAGTTGGAATTTGCTACGACCGCTTAGATCTCCAATGTGAGTTAAACGCCCCGACGTCTCCCTGTCGTTCTCCTTTGCTCACCTACACCTCCACTTTTCGTTCGCTGCCTCGCAACACCTGTTCCGCCTTACGATTTTTACCGATCATTTCAGTGTGGAACTCTTCCTTAGTTGTTTATTCAATTCTGGCAAACCTTAGACGCATTCAGCTTTATACAGGGTGTCCCAAAAGTAAGTACACACTTTTCAATCGTTAATATTTCCCTTCCCATTGGGTCTTTTTCAAATACCATTTTGTAGAGGAGGCTTCAGCTTAGATTTACAGCAACGAGCGAATCACCGATCGCTTTTCGTTACTGTAGGATTATGGTAAGAACTTCCAGCATGTGGAACCATTGTAAAATATGCCATCCGACAAAATTTTCTCAAAAAATTTGAAAAATCGTGTACTAGGGTTTTCGCGCACGCCGATTCCGTTACACAACTTTTTATGAGTGTTTTTAGCTTTTCTGACAGTGAAATTACAGTTCCTACAAATGCTGGTAACTCGGTTATTACGGTTTACGGGATAACTTAGGAAAGAAGCATCAGAGTTAGGTGAAAGTTTCATTTTCGAAATCAGCGGCTTCCACTACCATAGCATAAGAATCTTTGGTTTGCTTGGTTTTGTTCCGAGGCAGAATATGGCTTGCAACGGGCTAAAGTCCTTGTCGAAGTTCCTACAGTAATCCTACAGTAACGAAGAGCGTCGGTGATTTGCTCGATATTGCAAATCCAAGTTGAAGCCTCCTCTACAGGAGTCTACAGGATACTTAAATGGCTAAAAAAGACACAATGGGAAAAGAGATATTAACGATTGAAAAGTGTATACTTACTTTTGGGACACCCTGTATATGGGATGCTTCGCCCTCGAGACCTGGAAAACTCAAAACTTAAAATCGTTTTAGATATGCTTGAACTTTTTTCAAAAATGTTCGAAAATGTCTAAACTTACCATCTTGAGTTAAAGTACAGGCGCGCCGTGCTAGTTCCGTAATGGTTCTCCACCCACTTCCGCTCCAACCGTTCAGTGTGTTCGGTTGTGATCTTAAAATATTTGCAGAGAACGAGTGATTCAAACAAAAACGATAAAAGGGGCCTGCAGGATTGCGAGACCTCGGACGTGCGTACGGCCATTGCGCCGCGCATGTGCGTCCTACGACTCAGGTAGGTGTCAGGCTTATCCTGTTGAACAAGTTCATTCGGTTCACTACCTTTGCTGTTGGACAGTTAGTGATTTGACCTATGAACCGAACGAACCGGCTGAAGCGGGTAAGTCTGGCACCTGGGACGTGGCATCGGACGTGCGCCGCGCAATGGCCGTACGCACGTCCGACTCTCGCGATCCTGCAGGCTCCCCTATCAAGTATAAGTAACGTACGCCTCGTGTACGCTATAGGCCGTACGCGCTGGGCGCGGAGAGTGCGCAAGGTGTGCACTGCGCGTCACTCCTCTTTCCTCGTGCACTTTCGCCGCATGTTTTCTCTGCGCCTCTTCCAGTCGTGTACTATCTTCAATGTAAGCGACAGCGTTGCTCTCCGAGCACAGCGCGGACGGCCTATACCCATGTCCTTATCAATATCTTTGGGCACTTAGGCGTAAAAAACATCTCAGGGTCAAATTGTAAGTCCACAGCAATTTTTTATGAGTAATGGTACTCGCCGTCGGTAAGCTACAAATTCGGACAATTTTGCAGTAATCTGTTTGAAGCTTTTTAGATCAATTGTTTCCAGCAAATTGAAGTCGGCCGCACGAATCGCCCGGGATGCTGTAGGCTGAAGCACGCGAGAGTGCCTGCAACATGTATCGAGTACGAGCGCTATGACGACTCATGCGCGCGAATGCCAATGTTAGCGCGCAAGAGACACGCTCGCGGACGCTCAGTCCGGGCGATTCCGTGCAGTTAACTATATCTATCGCAGCAGACATTTTTAGATGCCAATAATTTACCAGATTCCAAGTTGAATTCGTACAGTCTGTATTGGCGACATTGCGATTATCTCGCAGATTATTGTTAGAGAGAAATGTGGCCATGTTTTGACTAAAGTTACCACGTTGTATAAGGAAAGGCACATAACTTAGCACGGCTTTCGGAACAAGACATAAATTCTTCTAAATCAGCCTGAAACGCTGGTTTCAAGTATGCTATTCTTAGCTGCGGTGCATCGATTTGGAGCGATTTAATGAGTTTTTCGTGCAAATTTTGCATACTCATTGACTTGCTGGCATCATGGCATAACCGTCTATGTACTAAGGACTTGAGTTGAGCTCCTTGTCAGTAAAAAAATTCGATTTCATACTATTTTAATATCCCTGCGCCCTTTCGAACAGACTTTTATCTTTGCGAGCAATTTCATGTTTTACATTAGTGTGGAATAATTAGCTATGGTTTGCGTTATTACCTGATGATTGATTTTGCTGTAAATTCCAAGTTAGAACTGAGACATTGTGTCTTAGCCTTTCTGAAATTTGGCGGTAGGGCTCTTTTCCTCTCCCCCCCCCCCCCTACATTTGTATTGGCCCTAACTAAAATTGATTTGACATAGAAGCTTTGTCAAAATTGTTAGCAGCGTTGTTTTAACATGCTAAGATAAATGACTCACATACAGTGCTGGCCAAAAGTTTGCAGCCGCTCTAGAATTTTGCAATATCTTACTCCGTTTTGCTTGGACGAATCCGAAATTTGATATTATGTGAAAAGTATGCACTGCTCAACACTATTTCAAAGAATTTTGCAATTTATGCACACAGAGGGCTCTTGAGAAAATGGCGAAAACGACAAAATCGAGGTTGGTCAACACGTTGACGTGCCTGCAAACGACGCCGCGCGATGGTGCGCGGCGGCCTTAATCTCAATATTATGTGTCCAGTACTCTCAGTTCTTGTTCATATAATCAACATAGGCTCAGGTGTACTTTAGATATTAGCTCCCCCCCCCCCTTTGACTCCGCCCACTCACGTGCCTCTCAAAAAGACCCTTTTGTTCTGAAAAAGCATGGATAAAGCCGTAGGTAAACGCAAAGACTCAAGCAAATTTGAGCCAGGCCTTGTCCACCGTGAGGCAAACTTCGCCCCCAGGTGGCAAGCTCCGCCCATTTTTCAAAAGTGGCGAAATTCGCATGAAGTTCTAAAATTCGGGCAATTTCCGACATTTTTGGCCGAGTGGCGGAGCTTGCCGCATGGGGGCGGGGCTTGATTTTGTATTTCGTGCATGGCTGCATGCATATATGTAAAGTACATGCGGCCAAGCATAGGGATGCACGGAAACGTCTTGTCCACAGAAACAAACCTCAAAAAATGGCTCGTCGTCAACGTGTGAAAATTGCAGTCACTTCCTGCTAAATGTCTTTGGAAAACTTGTCACCTTCCAGTATGTGGGCTACAGATGCACCGCTAGGCCTTGAGATATGCAGTGCAATCACCATTCATCAAACTCCAAAAATGGAGGCTCTACGGAGCAAATTTGCTTGAATGCCAGATAGGAAATAAAATTCGATAAATTATTAGGTTGCAGAGAAGTAATTGACTGATCCATGCTTCTATGGAAAGGTTGTACCATCTGAACATCCAGTGGCGGTTTGTAGATGTCACAGAAAGAGCATTACTGGG